TGGACCATATTGAAAATTTTCAGGTATGTGATTTAAAAAATGTTTTTCTAAAAAAAAAAAAAAAATGGAACTAATTATTGATCCGTTGAGTGATTAGTACAAATTACGTTCCCATATTTTTACAATATTGTATATTTAAGAAACGTACTCTGATTAGGAAATTTTTGCTAAAAGCGATAAAAGTCAGATATAATAATAATAATAATAATTCATGTTAAACTCAGTTCGTTGAAATGTAATAAAAATTAATAACACTAATTAACGCTTAACATATTTATTTTCAAAATTTTACAAATATATTTATAAATAGACAAAAATATTTTCACTCATTTTTTACACTATTAATTCAACAATTAAAAAATTAAAAATAATATAAGCAAACATTGAATAAAATTATTATATATAATTTTAAATGAAAAAAAAAGCACGGATCCCTAAAAATTTTAAACATTTTTTTTTTTTTTCATAAACTTAAGCCTAATATATATATATTTTTTTTTTTCAATTATAAATTAATTAAAATATCAGTAAAAGTTTATATACAAAATGGAAAAAAAAAAAAAATTGATAATAATTAATTTACAAAATAAAATTTGTAAAAAAAAGTTGAAAAAATAGGGCAAGTTAGAATTGTCCCTTTGCACAAAAGCGTATATTATTGGCACATTTAAATTTTTTTTTATTAATTTTTTAATAGTAAAATTTAATTATTTCAACCGAAAACTTTTGCTATAATATAGAAGAAAAACTCATTTAAAAATATTTTTTTAAGAATTTATCGTCTTAATATCGTTTTGCCATTTTCATGTTATTTTCCAACTTTTTTATAATTACATATATTTATATATACGCCGCGGCGCACGTGTGTTTGTGTGAGAATAAAAGTAAAACAAAAATATTTTTTTTTGGAATTAAAATTGTAACATCTTTTTTTTTTCTTCTTCTTCTTTATGAGAGAAAAAAAAAAAAAAAGAAATTTTTTTTTTTAATTAAGGCAATCAACTAATAATAAAATTAGTAGTACCCTACAAATAAAAATTAAAAAGAATAATGGCTTCTTTTTTTAAATATTACAGATAAAATAGACCGTAATCTTTTCCATTTGCTCGAGTGTATTTTTTCTGCTGAATTTCTTCCCTTTTCTTTGATTCTGATTTCTCTTATTAGAGTATGAAATGCATCGTCGACAAAATGACGAAGAGCCGCAGAAGTTTCAAAGAAAGGGCAACCGAATTGCTGTGCTAATGTTAGGCCTTCTTCCATTGTTACTTTTCGTTGATGTTGAAGGTCACATTTATTACCGATTAATATTAGAGGGATATCTTCGGAGGCTCTCACTTTATTTATTAACTTTTTATATTCCACGGCTTCCTACGGACACATTCATATATTTCAAAGAAACACATTATTTAATTTCACTGATGATAATTTGAAAAAAAAAGAAAATTCAATGTTAAACTTTACCTGAAAACTGTGCCTATCAGTAACTGAGTAACAAATAATAAAACCTTCGCCGCACCTCATGTATTGGTCCCTCATTGCATTAAATTCTATTTGCCCTGCTGTATCCAGAATATCTAATAGTGCAGCTTCACCGTCTATGACAGCTTGTTGCTGATAAGCATCTTCTAAAATTTAAACAGAACAAAACAGGCGGTCAACTGACACACTCATTGTTTACAAGTTTACAGTAGTTCAAATGAAAGAAAATTACCTATTGTGGGATCATGATATTCGGAAAAGCTATGACTCACAAATTGTAGTGTCAAAGCTGGAAAAAAAAAAAAAAAAAAAAAAAACATTATTTTGTAATACAATTAATAAAATTAATTAAAATTCGTCTAAAGGGAGAGAAAAAAAAATTTACAAGAGGGAATATTTTTAAAAACTGTTTAAACGAAAAAACATAAGTCAAAGTATAATTTAATGTTTCAAAAATAATAATTTGTATTTTACTTAAATGACTTTATTACGGGTTTTTAAACAAAAAATTTCCCTTTATAATTAAAGAAAAAAAAAAAACATTTTCAATAGTGACGGTAATATTTGTATTTTTTTTTTTTTATTTCGTTAAGTAACATAATTGATACAAAATTGATTGAAGCATTGATAAGAATTTAGGTATTTTGGGCGAATAATTTTCATTTGAAATTTTCACCTGATTTTCCGACTCCTCCATCGCCCAAAACAACAACCTTATATATTCTAAGGCCTCCCCTTGTAGTTTGCGAGGAAGTGAGCCCACCTCCTTCTGTAGAATTTTTTCTGCCCTTATTTTTCTCTGACGTTTTACGCTTTCGAGCAGGAGTTCCTTTTGCCGATCCATGCTTAGACCCCGAAGGGCCCTGCGTCTCACAACTTGCAATTTTATAAGTTTGTAATTCACAAAAATCCTTATTAATTTGTCATAAATAGCTAATAATCTTAATAATAAAAATAATTTTTTTGATCGAATGTTTACTGTGAGTTTTAAAGACGCATGCTCTATATGTGCTGCACATCTGTCGCGTTTAAACTCAACTTAAATGACCTTCTAACATGTTATGATCAAATTTAACAGATACGCTGTTTTACCGATAATAATACAAATTAATACCATCCTATCACTCTTATCAAATAATACTTTCTCTCAAATAATCAATTATACAGTTATTTATTATTATTATTATTATTATTATTATTATTTTTTTTTTTTAATCATAGAATTAATGCATGTGTGATTTAAAAAATATTTCATTGAAATTTATTTTTAAAAACTCTTATACACTTTTCTCTCTCTTTCCCTCGCCCCTCCCCCCCCCCCTTCATTTGTCCATTCCAATTGAAAAATACATTAAATTATAATTATAATATGAACAAATATAAAAATTTATAATAACTTTCTTTTAAGATTAATTAAAAAAATTATATTTACATTAATAATTACATACATTAATAATAAGTAATAAAATTAACATGAGAAATTATTGATCGAAAGGTTTACTGTAATGTAAAACAGAAAAAAAAAAAATTTCAATTAGTTATACGATAGAAATTGTCACCGGAATTTTTTACTAACGGGTTAAATATTTTTTTAATTGTAGGTTAAATTGTTTTTTTTTTTTTTTTGCACAAATGTTTCATTGAAGTTACACAAATATGATGCAAAATATATATTAAAAGTGCTATTTAAAAGCTTTATATTAAATTTCATAAAAAAATATGGTCTTATCTATTGGGATTTTATATAAAATACATTTATTTATATTAAAAATTAATATTTTTAAAAAAGATTTAAGATTTAGTTTAGTCATGCTTTTATAATTGGCTTTGCACGAGTGCAACACTCGGCATAATCGGCGAAACATTTGAATTATGTAAAATTAGAGCTTTTTTTCTCATCAATCGAAAATAACATTGAACATTTTTAAATAAAAAAAATAAATATATAAAAACATTTAAAGTTACTGCGAAAGTTTTAAAAGTTCAAAAATAAATTTTTTATCGATCACTAAATTCTTAATACGTATATAAATTTACATTTAACAAATCATGTTGCCGGTATAAAAACGAAGAAATGATTTTAATGAGTAATCAAAATATGCTTTCTTTATATTTCGTTTAAAAAAAAAAAAAAAAAAAGAGTTTATTTATCTGTGATTAAATTAATAATAATGAATAAAAAGTCGAAATAAATCAGGGGTGGCCGGCAATAAAAGTAAATCAATCAATAAGAAAATTTTTGTAAAATTATTTCTCTATAGAATAATTGATATCAAATTATCAATTATTAATATAAATTTATTTTTTATTTAAAAATAAATTTAGCAATGACGGAAAATTAAATGATAATTAAAAGCTAATAAATTGCCTCACAAAAATAAATTAAATGCGTGTCAAAAGAAAACTCTACGCGCCAAAGTAAAAATGCGTGAAACGTAATAAACAAACATACTTTTTTTTTTTTTTTTATGTACAAATACTTGAATAGAGTAAAACCGGAAATTCGATTTAAATTACTTTACCATCAAACCAAAGATCCAAGAAAACTTTTTTGATGAGTCGTAATAGATTTCTTAGACAAACCCCAAAATTTTACTGGTTTTAAATTGCTTTTCATAGCCGTAAAAAGCCATCCTATATGCGAATCACAATTTGAACATTGAGATATTATCCATCCATATCTGTAAGCACACACACACACATGTATATATATATATATTATAGGTCACTTTCATTTATCCATCAGTTTTATTTTAATTAAAACAAAAAAAATTAAATGTAAATATATATAATTATAAATACCCAGGAAACCAACTATATTTTGTAGTAGGAGCTTCAGCTTCCACACTCATTCCCATCCCATGGTAAACGGTAATAACATCGTGAACGTAACCCCCAGGATTGCAGTACATTCCTTGTGGTCCTTCAACAGACATGGAAAATATGTCTTTCCTATCCGCTATGCAATTCCCACAACTAGCACAATACAATTTTTGACACTTGAAGGAAAAAAAAAAAAAATTTGTGCTGTGAAAAATATAATTTTAAAGTTTTTGCCATTATCAGACAGTTGATTTGCAGATAAAAGTGTTAATAATTACAAAGATGGCACAAAATGATTAAAAAAAATTAACTGTAAAAAAAAATAATGACACCAAAATTCCCTGACATACTGCAAGTACAAGTTTTTTTTAAAATACATTTTAAAAATATGATATTTTCAAAGTTAAAAAACTTAGTTTTATGCAGAGTTTTAAAATGATAATAAATTCAATGATTAGCTACATTACTAAATATACAGGTTATTTTAAATAAATTTATGATAAAAATAAAGAATTTACCTTGTCAATAAGTGTTAGAGCATACTGAAGTCTTTCCAAAGCAGAATCAAAACTGAGAAGTTTAACCCTATTTTCTCGATCGATGGGCAAACATTGAGTCACCCAATATGATAAATCTAAAGGATCAGTTGGTAAAACAGAGCCTTCTAAATCTGAAATGAATGTCACATGAAACATTATAAATATTTACAAAAATAAAATCTCAAATTGTTCATTTTTAAAAATATAAAAACCTGTTTGAAAAACTTCTAATTTTTCAGAAATTTTTTTAACCAAAAATTTAATGTCATATTGTTTATATATACAAGATGGCCATGAAAAGGAAGCACCATCGAAAGACCTAATTTTCAATTTAGTAGATGAATTTTTGCGAAATCTATCTAAAGATAAAAGTCTAATTGCTTGTAATGGATCAACTAATTCAATTTCTGGCAAAATGAGAACTTTGCCTGATAATAATCTGGAAAAATAAATATAATTTCAAAAACTGATTTGTTTTTATTTTCCTGAATAAAATAAAAAACAAAAAAAAAAATTATATTCTTTACCCAGGGGATTGATGTTTCTGTTCCAGTAACTTAAATCTTTGCCTCCCTTTAGCTTTAATTTTGAATCCTGCTAAATCACTGTTTTCTTGATATTGAAAAATTTCAGCTGTAGTGCCATATTGAGCAAAGTTATTGACACAAACTACTCCGAATGTTTTATCTTTAGAAATAATTTTTCTAAACATAGAAACAGTAGGGGGATAAAAAGCAGTTAATGGCAATGTTTGACCTGGAACCAAGACTACTTCTAATTCCATTAATATCGGCAACCATATAATTGATCCTTCGTCGTGAAAAATCCTACCCCCAACATCTTCTAAATCGGTTCCTAAGTACTTAACAAACATATGCAGCAATTAGAAAATATATGACATTTAAAAAATTTTTTCCTTCTAAAATTATTATTTTGTAAAATTACGTCGAACTTTTTCAAAATTGGAAATTTCAAAAAGGTTTGCTTACTTCATGTTTTGCTGCTATGGTTTTGTCAAATGTTGTATGTGATTCCATATCTAAACCAGAATCATAATTTTCTGGCTCGTGCGACAGATCAAGATGTTCATTACTGCTTGCATTTGTAAAACTACCGAGTAAAGCTATTTCTGAATTCCCATCGCCCTCAGTTATTTCGTCATCCGAATACTCTACAAAAATCAAAATAAATTTGCAACTTCCATTATGATTTAAAAATTAATTTTTTCGGTATTCATTTGAAGTTAAAAAAAAAAAAAAAATAATAATAATTGCAATTCAATGAAATCATCTTAAAAATTGTTTTTTAAACTCAATAAAACCAATAATAACCTTCTATCATTATTTATTAATACTATTCTGGAGAAAGAGAAGAAAAAAAAAACGAAAATAAAGACTACTTTGAAACAATTTTGGCAGCAATGATAATGAAACTGTGATAATAATTATTTTATGCTGGCAATTGTGAAGAGTTTAAAATTTTTAAACGAATCATCGAAAAGATTTTGTAAAGCCAGCTATCGACTTTTATAAAGAGAAAAAAAAAATCATTTTAAGCCATAACAAATGGATTGGGTGCATTGTAACAATTGTTACGTTCAGCCAGGTGAATTAGAAGTAAAATTTTTTATAACGAACTGCGGTCACATCTATTGTGACAATTGTCTGAAACTTAATACTTCGGAAAAATGTATCGTTTGCCAAGTAAAATACGCCTCGTTACCGCTCTCCTCGAATATGAATTCAGAAATAGAAATATATTTTCACGATCCCGTCATAAGTTTAAAAAAACAGATAAAAATTTTGGAATTTCAACAGAATCACAGAATTAGACTCCTTTCTTACAATAAAGAAAAATTGAAAAATTTTAACCAGTTAGAAAAAGAAAACTGGGCTCTGAAAGAAAAATTAAGTTTATTGAAACAAGAGAATTCTTATTTAAAAAATGAAGTTAAAAGACTGTTTGAATTATTAAATCGAAGGAATGACGGTTTTGAAGATGAAAAAAATCATTTAAACTATTCAAAATCAACTCCTAAAATTTATCCCTTAAATCAGTTACAATCAAAACGAGTTGAAGAAACAATTTTCACAAATTTAAATTTATATAAGTTTAATAATAAATTCAGGGAAGACAACTCAAAAAAAAATTCATCAACAGATTCTAATTATTTTATTCTCTCTGATTCTAACAAGTGTGCTAAAAAAAAAGGAAATTCTAAAACCTATACCTTTCCAGAATTTTCAGGGTCAAGCAGGTAATTTAGAATTAAAATATACATCTCATAACGATAATTCTATAAATGACTCTTTAAATAAGTTGTTCTTCTCTTAAAAAAATTATGGTTTCATTTATTATGAAATTCTGTGCATAAATTTTCTATTTTAGTATTGAATAGTAAAATACTTAATTAATGCTTTTAAAATTTTAAACTAACATTTTTATATCTAAAATCATATGCTTATTAATTACAGTAATAGATACACTAAAATATTGACATCAAACATAAATGTTAGCCCCAGAATAAAATTATCACAACAAAACAAGCTTTTAGGAGAAAAAATGAAACATTTTGACGGTAAAAGTGATGTGAAATCAAATCCAGTAACAAAATTTGGATTTTATTCTTTATTCATGCCGAGACCCACTTCCAATTCGAATAAAACCACAGCAATGTCAAATAAATATTACAAATATTTTAAATAAAATTATATTACTATTATAAAATAACTTTTTCCGTATTTATGTTATAAAGTTAAATTTGCCAATCTGACTTTTGCCTTCTTTTTTTTTTTTTTTTTTTTTTTTAACAAAAATAGTAAAATAAATAGTGCTCAAAAAATTTATTGGCGAAATTTTTTTTTAACTTTTTCAACCGCTTTTCTCGTACTCAAAGTAGTGTACACGGTTGGCACTCTAACCGATTCTTGTTTCAAATAAATAGAAGAAGGCGGATATAATTTGCCTAATGTGAAGCAATTAACCTTCTTAAGAGTTTCCGAACTAATGGGTGTTATAACATAAAAAATTTTTCTCTCGCAGTCTATTCCACGAATCAAACCTTAAAAAAAAAAAAGAAAAAAAAAATCATTATGGATATAATAGAAAAAACAGGTACATAAAAAATATAAATACCTAATCCTAAAGATAAACTTATTTCAGGTTTTAAAACAATTTTAAAATAGTTTTTTTCCGTTTCATTTGATAATACACGTTCAGTTGATTGCTCAAAATGGGAAAAAGAAACAATGCTTCCGTTGAATGCTTTCAAAACATCATTTGGCTTAATTAAAAATTCTATAGCTAAAAAAATTTTTGAGAATGATATCCTGAAAATAATTTATAAAAATTTGATTTTTATTTCATTTTTTTAAAAAAATCATTTAATATTAATCTTTTTTTTGTAAGCTAAATATTAACAATTAAAATAAAGTATTTTTTTTATTTTTAGGCGTATGAAATACCGTTTTCTTTGAGGCATAATTGTAAAGTTTACGAAAACTTACTTATATGGCTGAACTCCATTGAAATTAAATGAAATTGGAGAAAGGGTTTGACAAAAGTAAGATAACAGCATTAATTCTCGAAGTTCGTAAGAAGACAAAACACTGAAAATAAGAAAATTTATAAGATTTGAAATTTTAACAAAAAAAATTCTTTCATTATAAGAGTCAGAAAAAAAATTTTTTTTTACGATACTTTTTAATAGGTTTATTTTTTATTTCAGCACTGGAATGAATCAATTTGTGACTATAAGTTAAAGATTTTGAGACATTTGACATTTCAAACCCGCTTTTTTGATTAACAACAGTAGGCACTAAATCATATGGATAATTATTTGAATCATTTGAACTCTTAATTTGAATCACAGTATCAGGATTAATGAGCCTTAAAACACTAATCATGATTTCAACTCCCAGACCTAAATAAAAAAAAAAAAAAAATCAATTTTTCTTTTATTTTTTATTAAATATTTAATGAAAAATATTGTAATTAGTAAAAATGAAAAAGAGCAAAAATATTACCTTTGCAAAAACCCATTGTATTGACAATCCATTTCATACTCATTAACCGATCATCATTTTTACACTTTTTAACTAAAAACTCAATGCAATTTAAGTACTTAGAAGGTGAATCATTTGTATTAGGACTACCAAAGAAAATTGATCTAAAATAATAATAGGATAAACAAAAAATATTATCAGCAGTAAAAATAAAATGTAAAAGCATGTTAAATTTTTTTTAAAAAAAAAATTTAAATTATTTACAATATGGGCTCAGTGATATGAGTGAAATTGGGTCCAATTATTGGATTTTTGACAATCACAGCAGAAACAAATCCAGGAGGTGTAAATTCAGGTTGACCTGGGTCTAAGTCCAAAATGAGAACATTTTCTTCATTACAAACAAATTTGTTGGTATAATATTTGAGCAGGGTAGATTTTCCAACTCCTTTTCCACCGCACAAAACAGTGCATTGATTTAATAAAATTTCATCCCATTCTGGATTTTTATTATACATTAGAGTAGAATTATTAGAGTCAAATTTAAACGTTGATTGAATAGCTTTAAAAGACTCTGATAGGGAAGAAAAATTTTCCAAATTCTTGGGAAAAAGTGGCAAATCCATGTAATTATAAATGACAGTACCAAAAGTGCTTGAAATTTGTTCCAACAATAGGACTGTATCATTTGGCTGCAAGTGTGATAAAAGTTCTTTAAAATCATTATCAGATAAAATGTTTTGAAGTTGATTTTTATTTTTATCATAAGAAATATCCTTGTTCCCTGATTTAGTAGCTACAACTAATGGTGTGCAAAATTCTGGTGAATAAATATCTACAGTTTTTAATTTTGAACATTCATTTAAAACATATCCTAAAATTTCTACTTCTCCTGCAATTAAAGTCAATTTTAATTCCCCGTGAAAGCTAAATTGGCACGGGTGACATAAATGAAAAATTAAAGCTTTCTTATTTATTGCTTCAAAAAATTCAGCAGAGTTGTTTATTGCAAGACAATTAGAGTTGTCTTGGCTTTCTCCCATACTTTCACACTGCAAATCGTCATTTTCACCAACAAAACAGTCTGATTGAGTCTTTGTAATATGATTTACTTTTTTTAAATCAATATTAGTAACTTTTGATTCAATACCTGATGATGATAAATGTTCTTTTTCTTTCCTTGAATTACTATTAACAAATAAATTTTTTTTCAAAAATTTATTATTATTATTATTATTATTATTATTACTGTTTACAATAAAATGACTTTGATCCTTTTTATTGTAATTTTGCATCATAAATGAAGGTAATTTAAATAAAAAATTATCACAAAAATTTGGATTCATTTTATGACTCTCAGCTAACTTAAAAATTGAAGGAGTTGGTTTTAAATAATTCGGATTTGCTATTATTTTTCCATAATCATTTCCATTTTCATATGCAACGCGGTTTTTAACTTTTTTATCTGAAGCATAATATTTGTTTTCATTATTTCCATCTTTCTTAAAATTCAATTTCTGTTTTTTGTATTTCATAATTTGAGGTGAACTCCTTTTAAATGGTATTACTTTTTTCACTCTGAAAAATAAGGAAAATCTTAAATTCAGAATTTCTCTTATTAAATTTTCTAACGATAAATATTACGTTTTCATGTCGAAACGAAGTAAACAAAAATTGATGGATCGAATTGGACTTAAAAGTGCAGTTAAAAATAACGTACGCATTTAAAAAAAATTCTTATTCGTACCTCGTTGCTTTGCAATCGTTATTTTGAATCAAGTATTTTTTTGACATAATTTAAAAAATAAAAAATTAAAACGATTAGAGAAAATTGTGGTAAAATTTTTAACAGATAATTGTTAAACGGAAATGATTTCAAATAAGTTTCAAAGGTTTTAAAAGGAAAGTGAAAAATTGACATTTTTTTAGAAGAATCATATGACTGCCCAGCTATCGGAAAAAAAAAGTAATTTTTAAATTGATTTTCTTGTGATAACAGTATTTTTGTAAACGATAATGAGAATTTGTGGTCCGAAATGTTCTCTATGTGGAATAATAATAAGCGCATGGGGCGTAGTACAATTAGTAAGCATTTAATATTGGTTTTTAATTCAATTACATTCATTTACAAATCAATTGAGTTACAATATATTAAATTACAAACATTAAATTTAATTTTTTAATTTTTATTTTTAGGTTCTTATGGGAATATTTTATCACGTTCGAAGTGTAGCTTTGGCTGAAGATCTTCCTATAAGTCATTCCGAAATAGAAAACACTGATGAATTTTACACTGCAGTTGAAAGGGGTTATACTCAAGTAAGACTTTATCAAAATTTCTTTTTTGTTTTTTAAACCATTCAAACGTAGAGGGTATTACAGCCAAGATTTGAAATTTTAAGTGTTTTACTATTTTCCTTGAATGTGGTAAAAGCCAAAAAAAAAAAAAAATATTAAATATATTTTTATGGTTAAAAATATCTAATTCGTAGTTTTTAAGTATGTGTTTCTGTTATCATATTAAAATGTATATATATATAAATTTGTTTAAATACAAAACTTGAAACCAGTAGCTTTTGTTTTACCATCATTAGTAGTTATAAAATAATTGTATTCAACATGAAGAAAAAAATTATAATATCTCACTATTTGTCGTTTATATTAATAATCTTGCTTGTGATAAATATTTTTAAATTTTAAAGTTTTATCTGATATAAATAAAAATTTGATTTAAGCCTGTGTATTATATTTAAAATTTTTTATTATTTCAGAATGCCATTAACTGTTGGATAGCAGCTTGTTTATATATTTTAACATTTATTTTGTCTGGTCATCAGTTCTATGTCAATAGCAGATCATCACTCACTATGTAATCATTCCAGTAAATTTTTAATTTATGAGTAAAACTTATTGTTACTAAGATGTCTGTATATAATTTATGTGTAAAATAATTGAATTATTACCAGAAATTTATAAATTATTTGAGATATTTTTAATTTAATTATTTTTTTTAGTAGTTATTAATTTTTTTTTTTTTTTAAATTCTTCACAAGAAATTTAAATAAGTAAAATTAGGTCAAAAGTATATGATATATTGTTAAATAAGTATTTAGGTCAGAATGTTAATGATTCATATGGAAAACTATAAATTATAAACAAGTAGAAAGGATTTAGTAATTTGCATAGATGTTTCCAACAACTATCATTTTAAATGAGTGTTTTGCTTTGTATTTCTTCTGAAAAATTTTTGTAATATTAAAAAAATTTAAGCCTTTATAAAAAATTTCACATTTAATATATATTTTCATTTATGTTTATTTATAACAATAAACAATACATACAATTGGTAAATTTTTTTTTCACAATAAATGATAAATTAACTTATGACATTGTTTTAACGAAGAAAAAAAAAAAAAGTATATTTAATTTTAATTTTAATTGTACCCTTTAATATAATCAAAGCAAAATTAAGTATTAATATATAAATTTGTCTTAATGAATAAAAAAAATTATACAAAAGATGGATTAATTCCCATTTATCTTAATAAATTTTTAAATATTTGTGAATATATATATATATAATACTATTTAAAAAATTACAGTGAAGAATTAATTTTACAGGAGGTATTTTACTATTTTTTTTTACAAACCAACATGTAAGTTTTTTTTTTAAATTAACAACTTATTTTTTTAAAAAAATTGTAAGGTTTCTTAATTGCACAATATTATTGGATATGTAATTTCATAAGAAACTTTGGCACTGATTAAATATTGTAATTCAATAAGAAATCTTCAAAAATTTTACCAATCACTTTGAGACAATTTATAAGTATAATTATTACTTTTAATTACTTCAATTCCAGCACCATAATAATCAATAATATAATTTGACCCATCCGAAGGACCGAGAACTTGTGTGGCAATTAATATAATGTCTATTAATTGACCAATGAACATAAAGCCCATTGTACAGAGTTTGAGCAAACCAAGGCCAGGATATCCTAAATAAAAACGATCAATTCCAAACATTCCAAGAAAGATTGATAACAACAATGCTGTTTCAAAAGAATAACCATTTCTAAAATGAAAAATAAATTATTTTCAGGTACACTAGCATTCCACTAAATAAACATTCACATTCCACTAAGTAAAAGAAAACTTACGTCCATTTGCATGACATTTCTTTCCTAAAACTAGAATTTTTCGTCTCAATACAAGTTATACCATCAGCAGCTTTGCAGATTACTGAAAGTTATAAATACTAAAAATATACTTTTTTATTTATTTTGCCAAAATAAAATATAATTATAAAAATTCAAACAATAATACATAATAAAAAAAAATTTAATTAGTATATTTGATTTGGCAATGAGAAAAAAAAAAAAAAAAAAAAAATATATGATTAATAAAAATTCAAAAATCACTTAGAAACTGCAATTTAAAAAAAAAGAAAAATACTTAACTCTTTTACACATTATATAACTTAGTAGATTTACGAATACTTTTCTAATTTTACTTTTTTTGAAATAAAATTTCAACAATTGATTAAAATTACCGTCAAAAAAAAAAAAAACATACTTATTTAAATATATTTATGAAAATTGTATTTTAGGATATGGCGATTGAGTAACCTGTCTCATGATAATTTTTACTTACATTCAATCGTATTATTAAGAGTAATTTCAAATCAAATTTAGTTTATAAATAATAATATTTATTATATTAAAAAAAAAATTTTTTTTTTTTTTTTCAGTAAGTAAATGTTAAATATGTTTTCTTAATAAATATACCCTTAGCTTTATTTTCTTTAGTACATCCATAATATTGTTGTGTTTGTGGATCTATTTGGTCATAAGCTGGATCGGGACAAATGTATTGTCCCAGTTTAAGAACAGTGCAGTCTACTTCGTAACATAAACCAAAAAAAATATTGTTAAGATAGAAAAAAACTAAAATTATAAATAATTGTTTCATAATTTCTCCTAACGCGGAGCTGTCATTTTAAAAAACACTGAATGATGTTCAGCCTATGACTATTGAGAAAACTCGTGTCAAAAGAATTTAATACTGGCGGTTGATTGTTTACTACGTATCCCGCTCTTTTACACGGTACATTGTATGAAAAGAAAATTTGGCTTGCTTTTCCTTAATAATTCAAGATTTTTTATTTTGGTGAGTTTTTTAAAACTATATTTTATATTATTATTTTTTTTATATAATTCTTAATTAAAAATTTTGATGAATAAGACTTTGCTAAATTATTACGAGAATAGAATTTTTTTTTTTATTTTTATTTTTTTTTTTTAACCTAACTTGGCCTTGTTTGTTCTCATCAGCTGGTTTAGTATTTTCAGGCATATCAGGTTCAGGTAGTTTTGACCTTATGATTTAAAATGTGTTACATTTTATTACCGTTTTATTTATTTAATTTTTTTTTTATTACGTATGGAATTTTATTGTTTTATTATTGGCACTTTTAAAAAAATTAGATTATATTCAACTTAAAAAACCACGCTTATAAAAATTCCTACTTTGATTTTATGAAATCGGTCATTCACTCTAAATAATCCTAAAGAATGAATTTTTTTAGTTAAAAAAAAATTTTTTTAATTAATTATTAGAGTTTATTATTGTTTTTTTTCTTTAATTAATAGACTTCGATTTTTATGTATAGTTAAAAAAAATAAAATTGAAGGCTTTGTTTGATAGCCTTAAAGTTTGGCGGGAGTGCTTATGATGAGTGTTACATTGATTGATAGCCCTAAAGTAATATAATGTAACCTAAGTTTTAGAATATAATTTTTTCCATGAATATTTTAAAAATATAAATTGGTAATTATAAATTAATTCATTAAATGTAAT